GGAAGGGAATCATCCCAGCCAAGCCCTAATGTCCACACATGCTGCATTAAAGCTTTTGCCCAGAAAGTAAGCGGTGCTAGCATTCCAGTAACATCGTAAATCCTAGCAATAGTGGAAAGAATTGATCTCTTGGTGAACAAGGAGGATGGTTTCTCAATTGAATAAGAAAATTGATCTGAATCAGGATTCCATTTTAATCCTAAAATTCCAACAGCATGTTGATCTAATACAACAGGAGTTACACAGTGTTCTTTAGGTAAGTTTCCTAATATCTGTGATTCATTCGAAGCCCATTTACGCAGCTCAAAACCACCTTTTTTAAGGATAGCTATAACTTCATCACGCAACTGCGATGCTTCTTGGATAGAATTTGCGCCTAAAAGGGCATCATCAACATAAATTTGTTGCCGAAGGATTTTTGAAGTCATGGGATAGTTTTCTCCCTCCTGCTTAATTAGCTCCTGAATAACTCGGTTTGCGAGAAATGGTGATGATGACATTCCAAAAGTGACTGTGGTTAATTGATAAATATCAAGTTGACTTAAAGGGTTTTCTCTCCAGTAAATAAGCTGAAAAGGTTGGTCATCGTCATGGATGGCTATCATTCTAAACATCTGTTTAATGTCACAAGTAAAGGCAATCTTAAAAAGACGGAAACGAAGAATAATGTCTCTAATCTCATTATGAAGTTTTGGACCTGGGTGCAAAATATTGTTGAGGGTCAGTCCTGTAGACGTAGGTGAAGACGCATTGAAGACAACTCGTATCTTACCATCTTTGTAAACACCATGGTGAGGCAAAAAACAATGAGGCCTAGAAAGGTCTAGATTTTTGTCACAAAGTTTCATATGACCAGATAGCCTATAATCTTCCATGAAATTTACATAGTTGTCCTTAAGTTCAGGATTAGACTGAAATTTACGTTCCATAGATAGGAAAGTGCGTTTTGCCGTTGTAGAAGATTCTCCTAATTTTGAAGGTTCATCTTTGAATGGTAGTTTACACACAAATCTACCTGTGCTGTCTCTAGAATGATTATCCAAAAAATGGCGTTCACATTCTTCTTCTTCTGGTGACAATTTCAAAATTGATGGAGGTTCTTCAATAGACCAAAAACGTTGGAGCGTTGAGTGTAGATCAACATCATTAGTAGAAAGTAGAGTAGATAACCCACTGTAGTTAGAAGGGCTTTGCATGATAGGAACGTTTCCTAGAATGACATAACCAAATATTGTGTTGATAGCATGAGGCATGTTGTCGCCAAGTGCAACTGAAGGCCCTAACAATGTTTGTGTGAACAGGTCAGCCCCAATTAATAAATCAATTGGCCCTGGTGTATCAAAGGTTGGGTCTGCCAATGTGTACCCTTTCAACTTGGTACGTACATCAGGTGAAATGGTAATGCGAGGCATGTAGTTAGAGATTTTGTCTAGTATTAAGACGGAGTGTGAAGAAGCCAAAATAGTACCATTAAGTGAAGAAAAATTCACTATTGTTAAACCTTTAGGTTTGATTTGAGCTGAAGATATGCCTGTTATTTCAGTCACACCACATAAGGTGCGCTTAACCTTAAGCATCGAAGCACAGGACTCTGACATAATAGTAGCCTGAGAGGCACTGTCTAGTACAGCACGTACAACAATCTGGTTTCCGTTTTCAGTAGACACCTTAATCAGAGCTGTGGCTAAAAGTATCATACTATTTTGAGAGTGTGCAGTAGCAACCACAGTGTTACCAAGGTCATTGGCTAGGCCTCTGATACAAGAGGTCGAGGAAGTGGCTAAAGTTACTGATTGTGTCACACTATTAGATTGTACATTCTGATCCTGCTTTTCAAAATGAAGAAGAGTGTGATGCTTTTTCTTGCATTTTTTACAAGAATAAATAGATCTACAAGATCCTGTGTTATGATTTCCAAAACAGTTTAGGCATACATTCTTCTCTTTAATAATATTGTACCTATTCTGAGGAGTCAATACTCCAAATTTCTCGCAATGAAATATGTTGTGCGCAGAATTACAAAAGACGCAACATGGTTGCTGCTTACCAGCTGAAACTGACATTAGTACTGCCTTGTTAGGCTTTGCTACGTTACCTGGCCTTGAAAAAGGATTTTTCGATTGTAGCATTTTAGACGCATTAGGTTGCTTGGAAGTAGATGAAAAGGTTGAAGTTGGCAAGTTATTTAAATATGCTGCTTCTTGTTGAATACACTCATCCTCAAGATATTTTAAAAATTCCCCAATGTTTGGAATAATTTTAGAGTCTTCCCTTTTTCGTTCAAATTCAGCACGTAACTCAAGATCGAATTTACGCAACAAGTGTGAAGTAAGAACTAGGCTTTCATTGGCTGCAATATCATGGTTAAGGGCCTTTAGGGCTTGATAGTTGTCATTATAAGCTGATATAAAATTTCTAAGCTCCTTAACAGAGGGTTTGTGAACCTGCGGAAGGTCAAGAATCTTGTTTGTGTGGAGGGTAACCAATAGCCTAATATTGTGGTACCTTTTTTGTAAATTTCCCCATGCAATCAAATAGTTGGTGGCATTAAGTGGCAGGGATCTAACAAGGTCAAGTGCCTCATCAGACAGGCAAGAAAGCAGATAAGAAAATTTCTCTATGTTTGAAAGTGATGAATTTAGATGAATGGTAGTCTCAAATATACCTTGAAAGGCTATCCAGTGCTCAGGCCTACCAGAAAAAACTGGCAAGTTGATTTTAGGTAGCCTAATAGATGTCTTAGACTTAACCTCTGTTGCTGGACCAGCTGTGCTAACATCAGAATCATTTAGGCCTAGGCCTGGTTGTTCAGGTGTAGGAGCAGGCAACAAAGCATCACAAGCTGCTGTATGCCAATATATAAATCTGATATTTTCTCTTGAAAACCACTTAGTTTGTTATTGTCAATATCCTCAATGGAAGCAATATTAAAAAAAAGCTTATTAACATGTTTTTCAAACTCAAAGTGTTTTTGATTAGCTGTTTTTGACAATAGTTTAAGCTTATTAATTTGTTGGGAGGTTAACTCATTAACAATACTAACTTCAGAAAGACTTACCACTTGTTTGTTGATGGCTTCAAGTCTTATTTCGATCAACTCACAATGTTTAACAAAAGTTGTAAACCTCATATTGAGCCTTAAAATGAGTCTTGAGACTTAAAGATACAAAATTAAATATGACATGATTATTGCCGAAACATACTTCATAAGTTGTAATTATCTCCAATACTTTGAACTTCCATTTTCTCAAACGTAAACAAACAATTTTGACAGCGCTGCTGCCATGGTCAGGTCTAACTCTAACAGCTGTTTTTGTTCTTGTCGCTGCAGTCGTAGTGGCAGTGGCATGAGGCAGTGGAAGCAGCTGTGACGTATCAGGTTATGACGTAGGAAGTTAGGATATGGGGGAGGAGAAATAACTGGTTACAGAAAAAGCCGATTCAATTGGCTTAGCTTGATGGAAAATAAAAATGGCGGCTTGTTACAAGGATTGCCTTCTGAGATGTTCTCAGGAAATTACATGAAAATTGTAGGCTATTTTTCGTAACAATTACGACAGAAAATTCTTACTGAATTTTAATTAGAATGAGATATGAGAAAATATTTTTCCCTAGGCCAGTCCTACAAATGATGAAATGATCCGGCTCGAAGGACCAATTATTTGATAGAATAAAACGTGAGCAATGAGCTCTTAGGCCTACCCAGAAATAAATTAGCTTATTTTCAAAAGATTGTTTTATATTAAATGAGATTAAAAATAGCTCAATTTTATAATGATTGACTTCAGCTTCTATTATATTTAAAAATAGATTTCCACCGACCTTGTAGTTGTAGAAAGGTGTTCACGGCTGGGGTACCCCACCTGCTGGCGTCATGTCGTCCTGTCCGGGATTGCACTGCACACTTTTTAAAGTCTTTAGAAATAGTTTATGTACACGAAAAAATAAACTTAAAACTCACTTCTTGTTATAAAAAGCAAAACAAAACGATCTTTTATGGCCTAATGAGGGTTGAATTTGATTGATAATAATAAATGAGATATATGATAAAACTGTTATAGCGGTGAGCGTATTGCTGCATGAAAAAGTGACTTAATGTCGAGAGGAGTAGTAGCGGACTGTGCCACGGCCGGACATCGTACGATGGAAAAGTACAAAGGTCGGGAAATTCCATCCTTATCGGCCGGACATGGGTTGAAAGATAAACGGTGAAACCAAAGCTCAGGGCAATGGAAAGTATGCGTTGAAAATAAAAATAATATGCTATACTAAATGAAATTTATATCTAACACTACCAATAACAAATTTTGTAAAACATATTCAACCAATTGGGTAGTGATAAATCATTATACACACACAGTGTTTTCTTTTAAGTTATTAACCTTGGTTCAGTAATAAAAATAAAAATCTTAACTTAAAAATTACAGCTTACTCAAACTTTCACTCAAACAAACAAAAATTATTAACACTATACAGCAATAAATCATGTAAAGAACAGAACAATAGAAAGTCTAGAAAGCTAAGGCTAATCTTAGGCTATTACTATATGCTGTTTTAAAGACAGAAGAATGTCGGTAAAAACATTAGATAACTCATAAATAATTCCGTCCCGTCCCGAAATCAAAATTCAATCCCCTCCATCCCTGGAGAAAAGGGCACTTGTTCACAACTCCAACTTCTTTAGCTTTAATTTGAAGTTGAGGTTTTGTTATGAACATTTCACATGGTCGTGTGGACATAATAATTAATCTTCTACCACACCACAGTCATAGAAATGTCCGTCATCAACTGGAACTAATTGTGGTGAAAGCATGAATATTTCAATTGCGCCATCTTCGCAGAAGTCGGATATTGGTACGGGCATTGAATGTTGATTCTCGATACCAATACCAATTTAATTAAATTGGTGGTATCCAGAATCGGTATTGAGAATCGACACAACTTGTATTCAAGGCCGGATGCTTCTAATAACAAAGCAGTTTTAACCTTTACCTCCTCACCTCAGTATCGGCCTCGTGGAGTTGAGCCTGCAAATGCTGTATGGTTGCCAGATGAGCTTGTTGTTGAGACTGCAAAGTTGCTACCTTCAATTCCTGATTCTCCTTTTCCCTCTCCAACAAGTAAATTTTGGCCCGTAGCTCTGCCTTATCCTCCCTCATTGCCATCAGTTCCTAACAAAACATAAGTTTATGTAAGTAATAAATTGAGGAAATGTTTCCTTATATTTTATAGATCCACATGACTGAATGTGAGAAAGTAATTTAGTTTAGTACTTTGTGACCAATCTACTATGTTTTTGCTACATGTATACATGTACATACATGTACATGTATGTTTTTGCAATCAACATGTACATTTGGATAGTTGTATTCAAATTTGAGGGTGTAAACATAAACTATCGATTACCTGCATAAGGACAGCAGTCTCCAAGTCAAGCTTTCGGGAATGTCCAGCAGAGGCAGGAGTAGTGTATGGGGGGGGAGGCAGATCCACTAAACTTTCTAGTTCTACCACAGTGTCCCGCACACGTCCCCTCTCAGCCTTCAGACAAGATATCAGCTCCCTCAGCTGTTCTTCTTCACTTACCCGCACACTATACAACATTACATACAAATCAGCTGACTAGGCGGGGGCGGACTACTAAACTCTACGGCTCTACCACAGTGTCCAGCACGTGGCCCCTTAGATGTTCTTCCTCAGTCAAAAATGAATAAGAAATGGATCATATTTTATATTTTTTACAAATAAAGTAAAATGCGCATTTAATAAATATAGTGTATACATTTTTCCGAAATATAATACTGTAATGTAACTCTATTTACTGGTTGAATTTTTATTTATTATTTTTTTTAATTTTACATAATTATTAAAACCTTTAAACCTAAACTTGTATATTTTCAGTGGTTTTTATATTTACGTTTCTGTATTAACACTTTAATAGTTAGTACTAGCATATTGAGTAAAACTACATTGTAATAATTGTATTATATGCAACTACATAGGGCCTGAGTAAAAACTACATAGACTGTAAAGATCAAAGTGATTATCATCTTTTTAGTGCTTACTTTTCATCGTTTAGGTGAGAATCAAGAAGAGAAACAAGTAGATCATAGGCTTCAATGGCTCGGTCACTTGAATTAAGAGCAAGTCGGCAAGCTATAACATTGGACTCATACTTTCCCAACAGAAGATATAATCTGAAATAAAAAATTCAGTAAGCACATTTATATTGCTCATTTTCAAGAACAAAACAGTTAAAAAGCAGAAAAGTATATATAATTTTTCTTTAAAAATATGAGTAGTAATGGAAGAAAATTTTGAAAGCAGTTACATCTTTCTCAATCATTTCAAAATAGTGATTGAGTGTGTTTTAATAAAGTTTGATTATTAATAATCTTTTTGTCATTATTTATCTTGGTTTTTTGTTTAATCTGTGTGTGGTGAAATAAAGTCACACCTATTATGATGTGTCACTTAGGTGTTTCAGGTTTCAGGTGCCAGGGTACTCTTTTCCATTCAGGTAAACCTACTATACCTCTCACAAAAAGAAAATGTAAGTACCCAAAGCCATAGTACGGTAGAGCTTCTTGCGAAATCACTCGATGAAATATTTCTTCATGTATGTTTTTTTCCCTAAAATTATTAAACCTAGTTTATTATTAATAACTGTTGTATATTTTTGGACATAAAATAGTCGAGGATTTTAAATACGAGGGCTATCCAGAAAATTGCAAACGTTTTGACCTGGCCCGGCAGTTGGAAGGTTTTTGTTGGCGAAAATTTAAAAACCTATAGAAATTTATCACCAGATTTGTGATGTTTACGGCCAAGGAATAATGGGTGAAAGCCAAGTGAGGCAGTGGTGCATTGATTTTAAAAATGGCTGAACCAATGTTCATAACGATTATGTTCAGCGGTAGGCCTAGTATTATGACTGATAAATTAGTGGCGAAAATCGATAAACAAATCTGTGAAAATAGTATTTTTACCATCTCAGAACTCTCAGAACATTGTCCTCAAATTTCTCGGAGTTTAGTCCATGAAATAGTGGTTGGTAAACTTGGTTGGATACCACTAATCTTGTGCCAGGTGGGTTCCGAAATTGCGAACAGAAGACAACAAAAAACTAAGAGTTACTGCAGCACTGACATTTCTGGAAGAGTATGACAAACGTGGAAACCGTGTTATTGATCGTATCGTAACTGGTGACGAGACTTGGGTAAAGCACGTCAACTTTGAAACAAAAAGGCAGCCGAAAAAAATGGAGCCACACAAATTCACCCAAGAAACCGATAGTGTTTGCAGACCCTATCAGCAAGAAAAATCATGGCTAAGGAGTTTTGGGACGCTCAGGGGGTGATTTTGGTAGACTTTCTTGAACGTGGCCAATCAATTAACTCAGAGAGGTATTGGGAAAGATTCCGAAAATTAAGACGTGCGATCCAATTCAAGCATCGTGGAAAACTTAACGAAAAAGGTTTGTTTTTTCATGACAATGCCCATCCACACACAGCCAATCGTACCCAAGAGTTATTGGATGGGAATTTTTCAATCATCCACCGTACAGTTTAGATTTGGCGACTAGTGACTACCATCCGTTCCCAGCAATAAAGACGTGGCTCGCTACGCAATGCCTTGACAATGATGCTGAACTCTATGCCGGTGTAAACCAGTGGTTAAACTCCCAGGCGGTAGATTTATTTAAAGAGGGCATTGAACAGCTTTGATACCACGCTTTGATAAATACCTTAATTTTAGGGGTCTGCGGTGCACCGAAAAAGTCAGTACGGTATGGTTCTAGCTTAATTACCGTCATCGGTTCGGTACAGCATTTTTTACGCGGTACAAACTCGGTTTGGTACAGCCTATTATAATAATAAATAACATTCAGTTAATTTACGGTAGTTGGTTCTGAGCACATGAAAGGCTTATCAGATGTTTGTTTAGGTTCTTCATAACTTATTACTAGGGTATTGATGCAATAAAAAACCCAATAGCATTACCACATCCACGACAGGCATGTGTTGTACACCCCCTCTTACTGCTGAGAATGTACAACACATGCCTGTGCGAAAGGGTTTTCCCAACTCCTTGGAAAAGGGCTAGGCTTGTGCTAATCAGCAAGGGGAAAGGTGACCCGAATATGCCGTCGTCTTACAGACCCCTCTGTATGTTGGATGTGGCCGGAAAACTTTTCGAGAAACTGATCCGCTGCCGCCTGACGTCTGCCGTGGAAGCTGCCGGAGATTTGTCTCCTCGTCAGTACGGCTTCAGAAAGGGTCGGTCAACAATCGACGCGATATCCGAGGTACACAGAGCGGTAGAGCGTGCCGAGAGCTTCAATCATTACTCTCGCCGTATCGTGCTTCTTGTTACGCTAGATGTCAAGAATGCTTTTAACTCGGCGAGATGGGTCGATATGTTGAGCGCGTTGAGGAACAGCTTCCGCGTACCAGCATATCTGTTGAGGCTGATCGAGGACTACCTGCGCTGCAGAACTCTTAATTACGAAACTAAAGATGGTTCGCGGACGATGGATGTTACTTCCGGTGCCGCGCAAGGTTCGATACTCGGCCCAGATTTGTGGAACGCTGCCTACGACAGCCTTCTGAGATCTGAGATGCCAGAGGAGACCGTTTTAGTTGGGTACGCCGATGACGTTGCAGCCCTCATTGCTGCACGCAACGTTGAGCTAGCCCAACTGAAACTGAACCAAGTCATGCGCGTTGTAAACGCCTGGATGACTGATCATGGTCTGACACTCGCTCTGAGCAAGACAGAGATCGTCATCCTCACGAAAAAACGGATTGAAACCATCGTTCCGCTACGAGTTGGGAACGTAGTTGTCCAAACCACGCGAACCGCCAAGTACCTTGGTGTCATGGTGGACAACAAGTTGAGCTGGAGGGACCAGATCTTCCGTACGGCGGACAAGGCTGCTAGGAGTGTCGCTGCTCTTAGTAGGCTTATGGCCAATGTCGGTGGTCCCCGGTCCAGCCGTAGAAGACTACTGATGTCTGCAGTCCAGTCCGTGCTTCTCTACGGCTCTGAGGTGTGGGCAGACGCGCTTAACAAGGAGGCGTATAGGTTGAGGCTCGCACGAGTGCAGCGTCAGGCGGCACTCAGGGTCGCTTCCGCGTACCGTACGGTGTCCGAACCGGCCGTTTTGGTGATCGCTGGAGTTATCCCAGTCAAACTCTTGGCAGCGGAGAGGAAGGCAATCTACCAGAGACAAGGCTACATCGGAAAGGACGCTGCAAGAACAGAAGAGCGCTCCCGCACTTTTCAGATGTGGCAAGAAAGCTGGGAAAGGGAGACTCGAGGACGTTGGACTGCCAGACTCATCAGGCAGGTCCAACCGTGGGTAGAACGGCGGCACGGTGAGGTTGACTATTACCTCACGCAGTTCTTGTCAGGTCACGGCTATTTTCAGTCGTACCTGCACTTGATGGCCAAAACGAATTCACCTGATTGCATTTACTGCCCATGCATTCCCGACGACGCGGAACACACTTTTTTCCGCTGTCCACAATGGGATATGCTTCGCCAGGAGGCCATTCAACATCTTGGGGTGCTGTCGATTGAATCGATCTGTGAGACCTTGCTGAAGGGTGAGGACAACTGGGACTGCTGGTCGCACTTTGTCCGGAATGTCCTTCAAGCTAAAAAGAATGATCTAGATCGGAACATAGTCTAGATTTGATAAGAAATAAACGGCTAGACACGGCGTAAGCCCCTCGGGCGTAGGCAAACTCGGCCTAGTTCTGATGAAGTGCGACAAGTGTTCCCAGGCTAGTGTCCGAAGAGTAGAGGAGGTTTTTAGTGGGTAGTCTCTGGGCCTTAAGCCCGTTGGAGTCCCACACTACAGGCTAGCAACCTGTGTGCATAAATGCATTTTCCCACCTCTCCCTAAAAAAAAAAAAAAAAAAACCACATCCACGACAATAATTGTTGTACTCAAGTGACAAGTATTTCCAAGAACTTTTGAGTTTTATCACTTTTAATCCTTTACGGCTTTCATTATTACTAGCTGACTTTCATTTATTACTATAGCGTAATAACTATTATGATAACCCAATTCTATTTTATCATAAAAGAAAAAAAATAATAGTTTTGTAATGGCTGTTAAATTTCATCTCTAACTCTAGTTGGCATTTCATATTTTAAAACAGTAAAATGACTTTATTGTAATACAATATTTACAAGACACAAACTATCATGAATTAATTTCTTTGAAAATAATCTTTTAACAATTTTATGAATCTTACTAATATTATAAATGCGAAAGTTTGTGTGTTTGTATGAAGTTCAATCACGCATTAACTACTGGATTGGGTTGAGATTTGGCATAATGATAGCTCACATTCCCGATTAACATATAGGCATATTCTTATCTCAAAAATCCTTTCGGGCTCCGCCCCAGTGGCTCTGTAGTTCCCCATGTTAACCTTATGAGTATTCATATTTAAAGAGAATTAAAGAATTTAGTCAGCTGTTTCAACTAAAAAAGTTGGTTCTATGATATGTAAAAGCATTAAAACGTTATAAGATTTACCAACAGGGTGCAGCACTATATTTATTTTGCATTTATGAAAACAGCTAATTTGAACTAAGGAGCAACAAAAAACTGTGTTACGCAATGATAACTAACTGTCAAAGTAGGATTGTTTACAGTTATGTTTATGTTTTTAACCTCTTCAGGGAGTAAGGCTCATATGGGTACATTAACTTTTTTCAATTTTTTTTTGTATTATTCTCGAACACCCACATTTGTACAGTGGTTATTATTGGTTACATTAACTTCTCAAAAGTTGGTAGCACTGGTTCCTTTCTTTCCCACATGTTTCTAAGGCAACGAAATATTCAGTTGAAAGGGACACTGTGTGAGGTTATGTGTGAATCAGTGAATTTGTGAACTTTGATGTGTTGTGAAACCCATTTATAATGTACATATACACTTAATAATTTTTGTCTATGATATTTTATGCTTTCACCTTTCAAATAATATTTAGTTTACTACATTATCTTTTAAAACGAAACCAGAAATTTGATTTTAATATCTGTACTCATTTGCGTACAAATCTCAAATGTCTTTGAATCTCAAAAAACGTCCCTGAAGAGGTTAATTTCATGGATATTTTGTGATATTTTGCGATTTTTTTCATAATTTATTTTTCTCTATTGTTTAGGTGGGACC